CAAAGTGGCGAACTGGGTCAGCCCCTGGCGCGGCAGATTCCTTTCATCTGCAACTAGGTTGATTCTGGCGAATTCTAGTCTGTCCTCCCTGCCCTTGTTTACCATGGGCATGTTCCTGCTGGCTGACGGAGTTCACGCCAAGCTCGACACCCCTAGATCTAAGTTCTTTTGGGAAGGGACTGGGACAAAAAAGAAATACCACTTGATCAAGTGGGCGGCGCTTTGCCGCCCCAAGAAATTCGGTGGCTTTGGGATCCTCAACTCCAAACTCATGAATGTAGCTCTCCTTGTCAAGTGGATATGGAAACTCTCCCAGAACGAACAAGGGCTTTGGGCTGATATTCTTCGCGCCAAATACTTCCCCGATGGGAACTTTCTCACCTCAAAGGCGAAGGGATCGCCTTTCTGGAATGGGATTCAGGCGGTTAAGCCGGCCTTCACGCTTGGGGCCAAGTTCTGCGTTAAGAATGGGAAATCCACGAGACTCTGGCTCGACCACTGGCTAGGGGCGGAGCCTTTATGGCGAAGCCACTTTGACATCTACCGACTAGTGACAGACGTTGAAATCTTGGTGGCCGACGCACTTAGAACTAACCCTCCTGCCATATCTTTCAAAAGACCTCTCCTCGCCCATGAACGGTCAAGTTGGGATGGGCTCCTAACTGCCTTGCAAGGGGTCTCTCTCTGCCCTGAGGCTGACTCGGTCTCCTGGTCCCTCTCGAGATCCGGCAAGTTCACGGTACAATCGCTTTACAACAAGCTGACTGAGGGACCGACCCTCGACATAGCTGGGGGCCTATGAAAAGCGTCTATTCCTCTAAAGATCAAAGTGTTCCTTTGGCAATTATTCCGTGACCGCCTACCTTCGTCTAACAACATTGCCATTCGACACGGCCCTTCGGATGGGTCATGTGCGCTATGTGGAGCGCACGAAGATGCGAACCACATCTTCTTTCAATGTCACCTATCACGGTTTGCTTGGAGTGCCGTCCGTGAGGCTTTTGCGCAAAACTGGAATCCCCAAACGGCTGCAGACCTACGTGGGATACTTCTCGCTCATAGAGGTAGCTTCGGGCGCGTGCTGTGGCGATGCGTAGGGGCGCTGTGCTGGTCATTGTGGACCACCCGTAATAAGATGACTATCGAACACAAGTTCCCTGCTCACCCTGCTGATATTATTTTCAAATGCCACTTGTTTCTCCAGACATGGACATCGTTGGGGAAACGACGTGATGCAGACCGGATGATGGAGGCCATGGAGCGGATTCGCATGATTCAGATTGAAGCCTGACGCTAAGTCCCCGCTCGTGGCGCTTTTGGACTGGTCGCCTCGTCCCTTTAATTGCCATCTTTCTTATCAGGCTGAGGCCGGTTGCATGTTCCGTACTTTGGGCATTTGACCCCTTTTTTATTTCGTTTGAACTCTCTGTGCCTTTGTTGGATGCTGCCTATAGTGGGCTTTATTAATTTAAAGCCGGACGCATCGTGCGTCTTCGTTTAAAAAAAAAGTACAAAGAAGTGGTTTCTAGTCTCCATGATATTGCAGAAGAGGACAAATGTACGCACAGTACAGGTGAAGCAATTGCGCACATTGGAGAGCATAGGAGAGTCTGTTCAGAAATTGTTATACTAGAAAAATATGTTACTCTTCTAAGTACACTAAGCTTCTAGCCTTCTAGGTGCCCATCTCTGAAACTAGCGACTGGAACCATCCTTTTAAAGGATTTGCTAATCATACAAACATATTTTAGTTTACAAACAAGTACAAATGTACATCAATGAAAAGAACAGAACTGAGGCCTGCTTATTTACAACTACACCGAAAAAAGGGTCATAGATGTTTGAGATCATTTAGTATGATAAACAAGAGGAGTTTTAGATTGTACACACAGAAAGTATAAAAACAATATGGTGACCAGAGGCATACATCAAAACCTCATTTATGTTATGGTGTGATATGAAAATAGCCATGCTCCCCAAAAGTTGGGTAGCTCAAACTGGATGAAAAAAAGGGGCATACATGACAGCTCCGACGCATCTTGTTTTCCATCACCTAAACATGACAGCACCAACCCACAAGGCTGCAACCTGTGGTTCTCACCAATGAAAAGACCTGATTAAATTAAATAATGGCTTGAGCATGCAATTATGCAAAGAGCCACCATGCACACAGCACCACACGGCTGGTTCTTGCTGCCAATTGCTGGAACATGATAATTGATGGCTCATCTCGGGGACAACAAACACACTAAGAGATGCACTGAACATGAGACGACTTAAGCTTTTGTAATCGATATTCAGCTACCAGATCTCGAGCTATAGGGGACAGCATCTGGGGGATGAAATGGCACGATTCTTCATGTCCAGAAATCAAATACTCCTGGTTGTATACTTCTGTGTATATATAGGGCTCAGCAGAATGTAGACACATCAAACCAAAAGGCGCTTTTTCTTCACTTCCTTTCTTCACCCACAATACAGAGAAAAGCTTCAAGATTGTTGGAGTTGTGTCGAATATAGTGTATAAGGTAAGTTACAGTTAAACTATGAGTTGTATTGTGTTTACATAGGATGTGGAGTCGTGTCCTATTAGGATACTTGTATCCTAGGCCTCTCTTATATAGCGGGGGTAGACACACGATGTAACATATGCCAACATAATAGCACCGGAATGCAGGGGAAGCCGGCGGCATGTGCCGGTGTCCAGAGCGACTGGGTGCGGTATTATGACGGTGTCACGGGGAGGAGCGCCCGTAGTCAAGCCCCGGAGATGTAGCCATATCGGTGAACCTCGTTAACAAATCTCGATGTCATGCTCGTGTGATTATTTGGTCCTCGGATGATTGACGGTATGCCTCGAATTTATTCTAACAAGTGGTATCATGAGCAAAGTTTGAAAGAGGCTGAGTTGTTGATTTAGAAGATGGATCGTGTCAGATTCGGTGCAAAGACGGCGGTCGTGAGAATTCATTATCGAAGATAGGGCTGGTAGGTTTGAGGAATTTCTCTCGTGGAAGCTATCGGTTTGCGGCTGGATGGGACCGAGAAAGAATAGCAATCGAAATCGACGAAATCATGTTGCAGCCGGAGTCTGTGGCGTCGGCTAGATCGGTTCAGGCGATCGAAAGCGGCGGCGGCGAAATCGTGGAGCGACAGGAGTACCGCGCGTCTCGGAGCGGCACTTCGCTAGCGCAGGCGTGTGCGGGCGCGTGGCCAGGCGGCAGCATCTGGCCCACTGGGGCGCTCGCGCGTGTCTCTCGCCGAGTCGGACCGAGCAGGCAGCGCCAGGTGGGCCTGTAGGCCGAGGCGTAGGCTCAGTCGGCTTGTACGGGCGCATACGGCAAGGGCCAAGGTGTGGCTGCTCAAGTCGCGACGGGGCTGCTGCATGCATGGTGTACACGAGATTTGTTTGGCTAAGAAAAAACATCTGCATTATACATGGTATTGACGTGGCATGGACAACAACACAATAAAGAAAAAGATGCTTTGAAGGTTACGGGAGGCAAAGGTTTGACACCCATGGAGACTACCAGGCTAGTGAAAAATTCTTTTGGAAGTGTTGCTAATTGCACACGAGGTTTTACCATGAAGATAGCAGATTGGTGATGTGCGTACAAGGCTTGTGGAGTCTCGAGCATATCGTGCAGTCGGATAAGTCCGGCTGGGTTAGACTAGACAGTCTGACGGATCGACGCAAGTCGGTTGGTACAGAAGACGATGGTGGAATCAGCGACGACGACATAGGTGCGTGATGCTGATGGTGACCGACTTCTGGGCGTGGAAACACGCGACACGGGCCTGAGTGCTTGTGTGGCTTGGACAAAACTATGGCGCGGGGTTGATTCAAGACGGTGCACATGAGAGCTTGAAGTAGACGGGGCGCGTGGGTGGATTGATCATCTACCATGGAGTCATGTTCAAAGTGGAGCTGGATTGAGGGGCTACGGTGTAAGGATCTAGGGAATTGAAGCCTATTCAGCAAGGGAGAAAAGCGAGTGACATGCAGTTCGGACTGGAGCCCAAGGGTCTGATGGAAGCATGAAACTCGTCATCGGTCGGTGATGATCGGTGGTACTCTACAGTGGGGGTTGAGTGGTGTGGTTTCACGACCCTTGAGACTCGACCGGGACAGCGAAGGCTCGACTCGGTAATAGCAGCGAGGCGTGCGGTGCGCATGGGGCATGGAGATGTGCCAGGGCTCTGGTGGTCATACATGTGGTGAGACAACTGCGAATTTGACTCGGATGACTATAAGCAATGGTGAAATTCCATCAAGTTTCAGACATGCGGTTAAGAAAGGAGTTGTGATGTTGAGTTCGGGTAACACTTATGTGTGACACCCAATATGTGAGTTCTTCATTTTCACGCAGGTCAGTGATCAGTGTGTGATGCGTTGGACGAAGCTCTGGAAGTTGGGAGCATACACTAGAGTAAAGAGGAACTTAATTTTGCTCGAGTGTTGACAGTGGTCAAGAAAAGAAGGGACTACAAGTTGCAGGTGGAGTCATATGAAGTAGCAGCGGTACTCATGGGATAAGCTCAAGTCCGATGTACATGGAAGTTTGACGCATGGACAAATCCAGAGTGGTGGAGAATATTCGTCAAGGTGGAGTTTGTTGGAGTTGTGTCGAATATAGTGTACAAGATAGGTTACAGTTGGACTATGAGTTGTATTGTGTTTACATAGGATGTGGAGTCGTGTCCTATTAGGACACTTGTATCCTAGGCCTATCTTATATAACGGGGGTAGACACACGATGTAACCTATGCCAACATAATAGCACCGGAGCGCAGGGGAAGCCGGCGGCATGTGCCGGTGTCCAGGGCGACCAGGTGCGGTATTATAATGGTGTCACGGGGAGGAGCACCCGTAGTCAAGCCCCGGGGATGTAGCCATATCGGTGAACCTCGTTAACAAATCTCGGTGTCGTGCTCGTGTGATTTCTTGGTCCTGGGATGATTGACGGTATGCCTCGGATTTATTCTAACAAAGATCAGATATGGCTTTCCACCTGAGATCGATAAGTTTGCCTTCTAGGCCTCACATCAGTGAGACGGAAGTCGAACAAGAGCTGCTGAGCTTGGAGGCAAGCATCTCTTCCTTCATTACCATCGGCACAATGTGCGAGGGTCTTATGAGGCTTGGAAACATCTACAATGGTGTTGAAGAAATCATTGGCCTACCAAGCAACCAAGTATGCTCTGCCTAGGAGAGGAAGATGTTGGATGGAGAAATGGAAGGTTCTCTCGAGCTACTAGATCTCTGTAGCATCATGCAAGAGATCTTCGTCGAGATGAAAGCCATTATCCAAGAGCTGCAAGTGGCACTAAGAAAAGGAGATGAAGCAGCTTCTCAAGCCAAGATCCAGTCTTACAAGAAACTTTTCAAGAAGACGGCAAAGAAGGCTACTTCTGAAGGTTGCAGCATGGTCATGCTATTGACTAAGGCTAGAGAGGTCTCTATCTCTCTGCTCGAATCCACAGTCCTCCTCTTGTCAAAGCAAATTGAAATGCGCAAACAGTCTCTTATCTCCAAGGCATTTTACAAGATGAAGAAGCCAGTTGTTTGTGAGGAGGAGCAATTGCAGGAGTTAGAGTGCAGCATCAGAGATCTTGAGAACGGAGCAGGACATCTGTTCAGGAAATTAGTCCAGAGCAGAGTTTCCCTCCTAAACATTCTTAGCTCATACATACTCCACATCACTCTTAGTGACCTGTGATTGGCATCCGCCTTTTTGAGGATTAGCCAATCTTGATACAGTTTTCTAGTATGTATACAGTATACAGTACAAATGTACATAATATTAGAGAGAGAAAAGGCAAAGTTTTGATCTATTTCATGTTTAATGTTCTCTTTATACTTTCTTTTGATATCAACCTCACTTAGTGGATCTTGCTCCTTGTACATTATGTATGCCAAATCAAAGCTAGCAAGGGCTAAGGATGTGATTACCACAAAAGTTATCAATTAATTAGTAAGATCGCCCCCATCACATGGTTGGTTGTGCAGTCTGGCAGTATGCACAACCTCCATAGCAAACATGTCATGGTGTACAGCACTGAAATGCATGCCCAAGAAAAACCAAATCCATCTCAAGTTCTACCTGCTCTTGGAATAATTAAACCTGAACATCAAAACTTGCCCCGCCACTAAACTGTTTTGCTCCTTTCCACATAATACTTAACAAATTAACACCAGTAGATTTCCTATACGAAAATAATAGCTGTGCCATGAAGATAGAACGTCAATCCAGATGGCTGCTAAGAGAGGCTGGACACCAGTGACGATCTGATGGAATGTCGGGCATATGCTGGTTACAGAGCCAAGAATTATGTGGAGCCATCAGCTAATATCAAAACTGTTAGGAATGAGCAACTACTCTTTACTGAGGGCCAATGGCCAGTACATATACAGATGTGGCAAAGTGCAGAAAGACCCCTTATACAATGGGGATGTACACAATGAACTATACACATCTAACACCCCCCTCAAACTCATGGTGGATCAATAACACTGAGTTTGGAGAGGAAAAACCCATGTTGTGCTCGAGTCTGTGCCTTCGTGAAGAAGTCAGCCAACTGTAACTCTGAGGGCACATAGTGAAGAGTGAGAGTCTGATCCTGCACAGCAGCACGCACAAAGTGGGCATCCACACCGATGTGCTTGGTGAGCTCATGCTTCACCGGGGCACGTGTAATACTGAGAGAACCTGTGCTGTCGGACAGGAGAGGAGTTGAGGTAGTAGCAGAGACACCAAAATCCTTAAGTAACCATCGTAACCAGATCACCTCAGCCATCAACATAGCCATGGCTCGCAACTCAGCCTCTGTACTCGAGCGAGAAACTGCAGCCTGCTTCTTTGTCTTCCAAGCAATAAGCGAGCCACCAAGAAAGACATAGTAAGCAGACAGCGAGCGTCGATCAGAGGGATCACTAGCCCAGGTAGCATCAGAGTAGGCCTGGAGCTCAAGAGAGCTGGAGCGGGGAAAGAAAAGACGCTGAGAGATCGTGCCACGAAGATATCGTAGAACACGGAGGAGGTGACTATAGTGGCCAGAGGTGGGGGCTGAAACAAACTGACTCAGGATGTGGACAGGATATGAGATGTCAGGGCATGTAACAGCCAGATAGACAAGGCTGCCAACGAGGTGACGATAGCGAGTGGGATTAGGAAGAGGGTCACCATCAGAGGCACGAAGCTGAACGTTGAGCTCCATAGGAGTCACAACTGTGCGCTCATCACCAAGAGCAGCGCGAGCAAGAAGATCCTGAATATATTTTTCTTGGGAGATGTAGAAGCCATCAGAGGTCGACGAGATCTCAATCCCAAGAAAATAGCGAAGAGGACCAAGATCAGTCATGAGGAACTGGTCTCGAAGACGAGCCTTAACAAAGGCAATGTACACAGAGTCGTCACCAATAATGATCATGTCATAAACATAGAGAAGGAGAAGAGTCCGACCACGAGAAGACGTGTGGACAAATAGCGCGGGGTCATGGTCACTGGGCAAGAAACCAGCGGCAGTAACCACAGAGGCGAAGCACTCAAACCAGGCACGAGGGGCCTGTTTAAGACCATAGAGGGAGCGGCGAAGCCTACAGACCATACCATCAGGAGCATAGTACCCCGGTGGTGGCTGCATATAAACCTCCTCACGCAACTCACCATTGAGAAAGGCGTTCTGGACATCAAGTTTAGAGATAGACCACTGACGAACATAAGCCACTACAAGAAGAGTGTGGACAATGGTCATGTGGGCCATAGGAGCGAATGTCTCATCATAATCGCGTCTCTGCTCCTGCTGGAAACTACGGGCCACAAGATGAGCTTTGTAGCGCTCAAGAGAACCATCGGAGCAAGTCTTAACCTTGTAGACCCACTTGCAGGTGATGGGACGAACACCGGAAGGGAGGGGAACCAGATCCCAAGTGTAGAGCGCTCAAGGGCAGCAAGCTCTTCGGCCATCGCAAGCTGCCATTCAGGCTGAGTCATTGCAGTCCGATAGGAAGTGGGCTCAGCAATGGCAGAGAGACCGTACCGAGCATGGGAGTAGCGATTAGGCAGGGGCGAGGCCGAGCACGGAGATTGCGAACCAGGGGAGACGTGAAGGGATGAGCACCAGAGGTGTAAGGCTCATTAGGGGAGACATCCGCAGTATGGGCGACGAGTATAGTGGAGAGGGAACGGTGAGAGAGGGCAACGGACTGGAGATGATGGTGGAGAGGTGGAGGAGGAGGGTGGAGAAGATGGGGTCGGTGGTGAATGAGAAGGAATGAGAGGTGCCAGAGGAAGAGGTGACATATGAGGCACATAGCAGGATGTATCGGGAAGGAGAAGGAAAGAAAGGTCGTCCACAGAGAAACTCAAGGAAGAAGGACGTGGGTAGTAAGAATGAGACTCATCAAAAGTCACATCACACGAGATACGCAAGCGACGGCCCACAGAATCCCAACATCGATAGCCCTTGTGCTCATCACTGTAGCCAAGGAAAACACACTCAACCGACTGAGCAGTCAGTTTGGTGCGTTCTTGGGGGGTAAGAAGAACATAGCACACACATCCGAACATACGGAGAGCTGAGTAGTCAGGAGAGCGACCAGAGAGACACTCCAGAGGAATACCACCCTGTAGAGCAGTTGATGGCTGAATGTTGATGAGATAGGTGAAGGAAATATGCCCTAGAGGCAATAATAAAGTTATTATTTATTTCCTTATATCATGATAAATGTTTATTATTCATGCTATAATTGTATTAACTGGAAACATAATACATGTGTGAATACATAGACAAACAGAGTGTCACTAGTATGCCTCTACTTGACTAGCTCGTTGATCAAAGATGGTTATGTTTCCTAACCATAGACATGAGTTGTCATTTGATTAACGGGATACATCATTAGGAGAATGATGTGATTGACTTGACCCATTCCGTTAGCTTAGCACTTGATCGTTTAGTTTGTTGCTATTGCTTTCTTCATAACTTATACATGTTCCTATGACTATGAGATTATGCAACTCTCGTTTACCGGAGGAACACTTTGTGTGCTACCAAACGTCACAACGTAACTGGGTGATTATAAAGGTGCTCTGCAGGTGTCTCTGAAGGTACTTGTTGGGTTGGCGTATTTCGAGATTAGGATTTGTCACTCCGATTGTCGGAGAGGTATCTCTGGGCCCTCTCGGTAATGCACATCACTCAAGCCTTGCAAGCATTGCAACTAATAAGTTAGTTGCGGGATGATGTATTACGGAACGAGTAAAGAGACTTGCCTGTAACGAGATTGAACTAGGTATTGAGATACTGACGATCGAATCTCGGGCAAGTAACATACCGATGACAAAGGGAACAACGTATGTTGTTATGCGGTCTGACCGATAAAGATCTTCGTATAATATGCAGGAGCCAATATGAGCATCCAGGTTCCGCTATTGGTTATTGACTGGAGACGTGTCTCGGTCATGTCTACATAGTTCTCGAACCCGTAGGGTCCGCACGCTTAAAGTTCGGTGACGATCGTAATTAGGGTTTTTCTGTTTTGATGTACCGAAGGTTGTTCGGAGTCCCGGATGTGATCATGGACATGATGAGGAGTCTCTAAATGGTCGAGACATAAAGATTGATATATTGGAAGCCTATATTTGGATATCAGAAACGTTCCGGATGAAATCGGGATTTTATTGGAGTACGGGGGGGTTACCGGACCCCCCGGGGGGGGGGGGGGTTAATGGGCCTACATGGGCCCTAAGGGAGAAGAGGAGGGCCGACCAGGGCAGGCCGCGCGCCCCTCCCCTTAGTCCGAATAGGACAAGGAAGGGGGGCGGTGCCCCCCTTTCCTCTTTCCCCCTTCCCCTTTCCTTCTCCAACAAGGCAAGAGGGGGGAGTCCTACTCCCGATGGGAGCAGGACTCCTCCAAGCACACCCCTAGGGCCGGCCGCACCTCCCCCTCTCCCTCCTTTATATACGAGGGCAAGAGGGCACCCCATGACACACAAGTTGATCTTCGTGATCGTTCCTTAGCCGTGTACGGTGCCCCCTTCCACCATATTCCACCTCGGTCATATCGTAGTGGTGCTTAGGCGAAGCCCTGCATCGGTAGAACATCATCACCGTCATCACGCCGTCGTGCTGACAAAAATCTCCCTCAACACTCGGCTGGATCAAAGCTCGAGGGACGTCACCGAGTTGAACGTGTGCAGAACTCGGAGGT